TCTTGCTGTGGGATGCTGTTGAAAAGTGTTGGTTTCATTCCAGAACTAAATGGATTCCAAAGGTGGAGGAAGTACTTGCACTGAAGTAGTAAATTATAGAGGTTATTTTTGAATTTCCCAGGGACTGATCTTTTTCTAATGCTCTAATGTGGATTTCATCTGGGAATTCCTTTGTAGGTGCTGTAGAAGGATGAATTGCCCAGAGGATTGCTTCTCATTCTGGCAAAACCCTCTTTCGGAGGCTTTGAACTTTTAGAGTAACTCTTTTTCACAAGTTAACATTCTATCATTTTGGGGTTTGCACTCAATGTGTGTCTTTGGCAAAATTTGGCCAAATACAGGTCATCTGGAAAAGTGGTGCCAGTTTATGCAGTTGTGTGTTGGTTGTAATGCTGATGTTAAGAGATAATGGGGGCTGAGGGCTAAGGTGCTAAAGACTTTCTTTGTTCACATTGCAACCCAATTAGCCTGTAAACTGTGTTCCATTTTGCTCATCCCCTTTTACTGGATTACAGATTACAGATTTTTGTATTCACATCTAATATATAACACTTTCTTAGATTTATTGAATTTGAGTCTTTGTTTTATTTCCATCATGAAAATGAAAAGATCCACTAGGCCTAGGTTTAGCTGCTGAGTACTCAATATTGTGAACAGCAGTGACTGTTTAGTTCTAAAGACCTGAAGATGAAGAGCTGTGCCAAATTGTTAAGCATTATTATTACAAATTGTCAGTGCATACTTTTCTCCTCCAAGGCACGTTTAATTGTATAGAGTCACAGTTGTTTTCTCCAAGACATTTGGCCTGACTTGTGGAAGTGACTGTATTTTTGCTGACAAACTAAACCAAAACTCAGATGCTGTTAATTTTTAGTTTTAACAGCAACAGAAATTGTGCTTGGGCTAAACACATAGCACCTAAAATTTGCAAATTGAATGTTGTGAAATAGTTAACATAGAGCTAATGTGTGACTGTTGAGCTGGTAACAAAATACATGTTGAAAACAATTTAGAAGTTCTTGATTTTTATGTTCAATTAACCTGTAGCTAAGAGGGTTAGCGATGACAGGGTTTTCGTTGAAATAGGGAGCACTTAGAAGGTCACCAGGGAGGCAAGTATATATTGTACCTCTGTAGTGAGAGTCTGGGCCTGCGATGGGTTTGAGCTACCAGTTATACCCCCCTCAGTTTTCTTCTATAGGGGGGAAAGGATGCCATTAAGACTGGTAAACTAAGCAAAAGAAAATGATGGATCTCAAATTCTTGAATAAGAAAAACTATGGTTTTGTATTAAGATAATTTTCCAACGTTATTAGGGGCTTTACTTAAATTTTACCTTAAATTATTTCATTTTCAGCAAATAGGAAAATACAATGCTAATTACAGCACTGATCATTTCTTTGGCAATTAAGGTATTTTGTTTGCTCAGAGAATTTTAAAACTTGCTGCCAATTTCTCATTGTTATGTTGCTCCTTGCATTTCTTTCAAACTTAAAGTCTGTATCAGTAGCACCATCTAAATGGATAAAGGATGAATGATGTGCAGTTTCGAGCTGTTGTTACAGTCATGCCAGTTAAGAATGTCTTCTTTTGATGATTTTCAGTATAAGGGCTACCAAATGAACCTAGTGGTTCTGGCACCACATTTTGAAATGTGGATGGTATAATGTTCCGTGAACCTTTATTCACTGAATTGCCAAAGTCATGCTTTTCAAGAACTTTGTGAACTTAAAGCACTTTAAAGGAATATTCTGGGTTCACAGCAGTGGAGAGCTAATGTCTCTTCTCAAAAAAATACATTGGCTACTGTTATAGGTCAGCATTTGCCAACGGTTTCTGCAGGAGATGCCAGTTTGGAGTGGAAACTAAGGAATGAGTTCAGCGAAGCACTTTATCCTGTTCTTGGCTTAAAGCACATGAATAATCCCATTGACTACCCACGTGTGCTTTACTGGGACTGCTCACATAGTGAAAGTTAGGGATGTGTTTAAATAACTTCCTATTTGGGGGCTCACTGTGTGATGTCTCCTGGCTGAGACTTGATTTTCTTATGGCAGCCACCATATGACCTGTGTGCAGGGAGCACAGCGTTGTCTGGGCTAGCCATACAGTCCAAAGCAAAAGCTATTTCTGTGTCCATCCCCAGTCCGTCCTGCACTTCTCTGGCAACTAATTATCTGTTTGCTGCCAATTGTGCTCTAGTGTTTTTGGCACACAACCACTCTAACTTGCTGCTCATACAAGTATTGAATTGCCTTTGTAAGGCAGAGAGTAGTCTTTTCCTTGTTTAAGACTGTATATGTGGTTGTTACAACATGAAAAAAAGAAGATCATTGTCATAGTTTTCCTCATTTTCATCAAATTGTGCTCTCTCTGTCAGCAGTCCCACTGAAGTTGATAGAGATGCTAGCAGAGGAGAATAACCATTTTGGACGTCCAAGCTCAGTACTCAGAGGGGCTAAATGGAGTTTTTTCATCTATCGAGTATCTAATGGAAGCACCTTTATTCGAGAACCTCTGTAAATAGATCATCTATGGAAACAGAGCTCTTTCAGCACACAGGGAAGGAGAAGTAAGATGTTAGGATAGAATCATCTTCAACCTGGTATTTTGCAACCATTATCTCTGGTTTGAACCAAAATTGGCCCACCAGCAAAACAGTACAACTTCAGGTTAAAAATACATTTAGGTAGGTTTTCCACCTCTGCCTTTCTTTCCCATCCCCTGCATGCACAAGGCAGCAGATAACTTCGGAGACAGCATTTGCCTGTACTTGAAAAGGGGCTGGTCATAGGTGGGGAATCACTGCGACCCGCGCACGGAGGGTCTCCGGTACCCTCCCCCTTCTGCATATTTTCTCCTCCAGGAATACAAGTTCTGCAACAAGTTAGCAGACCTACAGCCTGTATGTAAAAGCAAGTCAAGTTAGTAGAGAGAACTAGAATAGTAGTAGACAGCAATTAGTTAATGGAACCAGCAAGCCCAGCGCTGCGGTTGGTAATCAGCGGTGCTCCTTCAAACTCAGGATCTCAAACTTTGAGCTTGCTTTACACTCCTCATGGCTGGTTATCTGTTGTTTAGTGTTTGCTAACAACTTCACCAGAGAAGCCTAGGAAACTCCAAACCAAAGGCTGTTAATCACAACTGAAAGGTAAATTGCAATACTTTTTCTCATTAAGTTTAGTAATCCTGGCTGGCAAAGAGCTCTGTTATCTTCAGAAACATGTCAAAGAATGTTCTTTAATGTATAATCATCTTAAATGGGGTACTCTTTTCCTGGAGCTGTGTTTGGGAGAGTGAGTGGGATAACGTGTAATATGAGCCAGATGAAAAATAAAATGTGTAGATTTCTTCACTGGGATGGAAACTTGAATGCTTGCACAAACAGCACGGAGCCCTAAAGTATCACTGTAACAGGCTGTAACTTCATGCGTGAGGTAGGAAAACAAGTACTATTTTCACAGACTGTTAGTGTTTATGCCTTGAATATGCTTATGAGAGTGTTTAAGGTGCTGTAGATCTAGTATCATAATTATTAGACCTAAACACTGATAAGCTAAGGATTAAACTGTTTTAGAAATGTATTAACAAGCTTTCAGTTAGCTAATGATAACGTATTTATGAATTAAGTAGGAAGTTTATTTCCAAGAAATTCTCATGCATCTTCAATGGAGTACTCGAATCCACAAAAATCCATATGAAAACAGCGTAGTATCTAAATAGCTGATTCATGCCCTGCATATAAATAAAATGTTTAGTAGGCACTCTCCTCACCTAAAGCACAGGACTGAAAGACAAGGACCTGAGTTGGTTTTCTAGCTCTGATAGACACTTCTTGTACAGTTCTGGGAAATCACTTAGCATCTCTCTTTCTGCAAGCCAGACCCCGTAATGTTTGTCTCCCTTGCAGAGGTGGAGGGGAGTCTGAAGAAAGGGGTGACTGCAAAACAAGTTAAGATCTCCCATCAAAAGTCAGAGCAAATGGTTTGGTTTTGATGAAAGTAATCTGGAGTCATTGCACATATGTCTAATAACTGCTGATTTATAAGAGTCAAGTTATGGAGCTTTAATAAATGCATACTTCTTTAGACAGTGCTGCAGTATATTACTAGGTGGGAATACTACCTTGATTTGCTTCATATCTGCCTATTTTCTCCCTTAGATATGTAGTAGCAAGTGAAAATGTTCAGTTTCTCAAATGAAGGTCAATTCAAAGAAACACTTAAATGTCGAAAAATTTCTCTGAGTCCCCTGATTCTACAAAATTGATTTGGAAATCTTTCAAGGATTGGCTTTCTTCACTCTAAGAAGTTGCTGAGAAAGTTTTCATTTCATTTTCATTTACTGTCCACTTGGATAGTTCTTCACCCAAGCCTGGGAAGTTATTTCTTGTCTGTTATAGCAAGAGACAAGTTTTGAATGACATCTATTCATTAGTACCAGTAGTGGCATTTACATTGCAGACTGAAGGAACTATTGCTTAAAAAGGAAGCGAATTTAAAATTCACATGCTAAACACAAACCAATGAGGCATTCAGCTCAGTGGGAATGGTAACATCTACAAAGGTCAATGGAATGAGACTTAAGTGCAGAGGAAAGAAAACAAGAATGGAGGAGTCCATAGTTCTTCGAATGGTCTTTGATCCCCTGTTCCTCCCTCCATATGGTCATTAGTAGAGGAACTGGGTCTATGAACAGTTTTATGATAAGCCTGGGGGTGATCAGAGGTTGAATTTAGACTCTTTTTGGGACATACATGGTTTCTAATGCATCCTCTCATTTTGTGTGTCTTATCTTTTTTAATTAAAAACAGTCTCCACATTGCTGATAGTAATAATGAATGTTTGCTGTCTTAAGTTATAAAACGTGTTAACTTTCCCCATGGAAACTTCTAAGGCACTGAACAGCAAGTGAAACACGCAGATGCGTCCAACTATTAACTTTCATTTTTCTGCACTAGAACTGGAGATAATTGCTTTTCTTTCTCTGTTTAGCACTTTCAGACCATGTTAAAGACCAAGTTGAATGTCCTAACTCTTCGGAAAGAGCCTCTCCCAACAGTGATCTTCCATGAACCAGAAGCCATTGAGCTGTGCACCACAACTCCCCTCATGAAGTCCCGGACTCACACTGGATGCAAGGTACTCGGGAGTGTAAACTTAAGGAATGAGACCGATGCGGAGGTGTCCCATGTATGTGTGAGGACTCTAAAGAGCCCAGAGTAACCAACATGGTCATTGTTGCTGTTCTGGAAACCCCATTAACTGCTACTATTACTATAAAGTTTTTAAATCAAAAAAGTCATTGAGTGTTTCTGACCAAAAATTTTGAGCTTCAGGAAAAAAGGGTTTGGGTTGTGTGGCACAGTGCAAATTGTGGAAGATTTCTAACAGCCTGCAATGAATATGGCTTGTTGTAAACACTGCCATTGTTTCTGTAAGTGCTAGTGCTGAGATAGGAAATGAAGGACCAAATGCTCTGTATTTGCATTTATCAATCTGTACTAACAGAGGTATATACCTACTGCAATAGGGTTGCAGCTTAAAACTCGATGTTAGTTTGTTTTTTGGTTTTGGTTTTTTTTTATTTTTTATTTTTTTTAAGAGAGAGAAAAAAGGAAAAAAAGGGGCAGGGGGGAGACTTAGATCTTGATTTGGTTAAGTGACAAGATGAATTTGCCCAGTTACATCAAAGCACAGCTTCTGAAAAAGTCCTTTTTTAAAGTTTAATGGCTTAAGAGCTTCGAGTATGTTCTGTGGTAAGAAACCATATAAAAATAGCAAACAAATCTGCTCTATTTGCATCTCCTGTTGGAGCCATTTTACTTGGTCGCAGAGCTCGCCTAGCCTTGCGGAGACATGGGCAGCCTGGCAGACTGAGCTGGGTACCAGTTTGGCCTGTGCTGCCAGTCAGGGCTTGGCAGCCAAGTCTCCTTCACCTAGCCCAGCTGTCAGTTGTAGGGAGTATCGGTCGTGGTGAAAATGGAGAGAACTGGGCTTCAGCCTCCACTGCTCTGTAAAGTGTCAGCTCTAGAAGAGCCATTGCCTGATGCTACATGTACCGGATAAGGTCCAAAGTGTGATTAAATGTCCTAGCCCCCTCCCCTGCCAGTGTGTATACACACACGCGTGTGCACACACTCTTCCTTGTTGGAGGATGTGATGTGAGTGAGATGGGGTTGGAAGAAATTGCTTCCTGGTGTGTTCTCCTGCTTCTCTTGGCATACTGTGTGGGTGGCACAGGCTGTTGACATGCTGTGAAGGGCTTTGCTTGGGCACCTCCAGGTCTGGCACTTCCTCAGCAAAGTTTATTCTTGGGAAGTGTCATTTTTGTTTGACTTCTTGCCTGTCACAATAGCCAAGAAACAAGACTGCTGCTGGATGTTGAAGCAGTGCTGCCCTGTGCTGACACAGAATAATGCAGAGCAAGCGACCCTAATATGCTTTGTATGGTAGCTCGTAGCATCTGCTCTTCCATGGTGATGTCTTTTGTCCTTTATGTTGACATCTAATGAATTTTTAGAGAATATTAGCTATCATAAAAATGGTTCACAAAGTATCTGGCTTTCACCCCTAGTGAGAGAGAGTTCAGACATAATAATGCTTTCTGAAATCAGTTTATCACTGTGAACGTGTGTAGAATTTAAATGAACCTTTTTACTTAACCTGCAGTCCTTCAACTGGAAAAGATGGATTGCAGAGAGACGTTGAACACCTCAGTGAAAAGAATCTCATTCTATATTTAGAGATCGCGTTTATTTATTAATTTATTTTTCCTGCAATGTAACATAGTAGTGATGACTCGCGAACATCTGCTGCCACAACACTCCCCTTTCCTGCTTGCGCTGTTTCTCCTTCTCCCATTCCCCCTGTAGCTAGCTCACCTCCTGCCACTGCTGGAGTCTTACAGTAGTGTTTTTGGGGTGGTGGCCAGCCCCTCTTCAGTCTATTCAGCAGTTGTGATTTCCAGTACCCCCCTATGGGAAGATGATTCCATATACATATTGTTCCTATGGCTAAGAAATCCTCTCCAGTCATTAACTGCAAGGCTCTGATTTTACCCTGTCTCTCTAGTCACAATCTCTTTCTTTTCCCCTCTCTTTTTTTCTGACTAAACATATTCTTCTCTTACAGGGCTTGTATCCTCCAGCTGTTTATAGGTAATTAGCCTTCCTCTTCTCTTTCCTGTCTGATTATTAGTTTCTTGCTAAGTGATACAATAATAGTGTTGCCATAACAAAGCCAGTATTTTATAATGCAAGTTTTTGTTCTGGGAGGTCTGATCTATCACTGTTATTCCAGGTGTAAGGGGGGAGAGCTGGGGTGTCGCTGGTACCACCAAGCCTCTCTGGTTCTGAGACATGGGCTTTTCAGGCAAGAGCACAGCATCCAGTTTTTACTTCCTTTCATGAGTCACACTCTTTTGATCCTTAATCATTTTATTCCTCTTGACTGAAATCCCTCCAATTTTTCTATGTAATCCCATTAATGAGATAGCATCATTCTTCTGACAGAGGCTCCAGACATCTAATTTTATTGCACGGTTTTAACATAAGCCTCAGCTGGCACCATCTTGTTACGGGAACTTGACACATGCAATTGCTTTGCTGTTCAGAGGTCTTGGCATTGGTTTTCTTATGCAATTGCTCTTTTCCTTGTCCTTTCATTGCAAGACAGGCTTCTCTTTTCTCTTTCATTTGGTGTTAGCTGCTGAATCCTGAAGAAACAAAACTTTTCTGCTGAGATCCAATCTCATTCTGTAATTGAATGGGATGGTTTAAAGAATAGCAGAGAAATGTCTTGCTTGAAGTAATCTCAGGGGAACCCCCACAAAATCTGGAAAGTTAAATAATTGAACAAATTCAGAGAGCTGCTCTTTCCTGCCCAATTCCAGATCTGATGCAACTTTGTTGCCATCCTGTTTCCTAAAATATATTTTTTACTTACAGCAGAAGGCTTAAGACACCTTCCTCCTCTTACTGCACATCTACACCCCCCTGCTTGGGCTGGCTGTGCTGTCGCTGTTCTCGCCCTTCTAGACTCGTGGGCATGATTTCACCAAACAGAAGAAACAGATAGTATTTGCACTGATTTGCAGCACGGAGCTTTAGGTGCACACATTTTGGAGTTTGTGGTGCTGGTTGCTCCGTGAGACAGGGGTTGACTCGGAGGCTGTAGTACCCAAAGGGCACCTTCTTGCTCCCCTGCCCCTCCTTTACCCACCAGTCCTGTTTGCAAATGGGGAGTGACAGCCCTGCACCCTGGGGTTGGACTGTTGCAGCCCCATTCAGCAGACAGCCTAAAACAGAGCAGGATTTCTGGGTACAATAAAGCACTCGGACTCTGGGTTTTTCTTGGGGGGTCGTTTGCTTTTGTTTGAGTCATGGTGTATGTTAGATGAGAGGCAGGTCTCTGGCCCCAGAGGAACCACAGCTTCTCGTCCTTCTCCAGCTGAGACCGCTGGGGCAGGGCAGTGGGATGCAGTGCCCAGAGGGTTGTCATCTCTCTGGCAGCTGTGGTTGAGTACCCACGTGCATCCTGCCTCTTCCCTGCAATGGACGTGACGTTTGTGAATGCTGGATCACTAAGTGTTGAGGTCAGTATCTACTCCAAAGAATGAAAAAACCCAGCTGGCTTATTGTATACCTGTAAATGGCAAGTCTCAGTTTAAGCTAAACCTCCCATTGCTGGGGAATGACAAAAGAGAGTGAGAACAAGTCTTTTGTTCTTCCTAGCTGGACCACACTTTCAATCACAGGTTTCCAATTTGCTTTTATTTAAATAGAGCATGTTGCTGTATACAGGCATGAGTGTCATTTAGATGTGTGTATATAAAAATGTGTCCATCCTTGTTGAGATCCTAAGAATTTTGATTAGACTGTGGCTGTCCTGCTTGTCAAATGTTGTGCACTCTTGTGGTTCAGCTGGAAGCCTCCTCTTCCCTTATCACAACACTAAGTACCACCAGATGGAAACTGAAAATCTGGAGTATCTCCAGAAAATAAGTTGCTCTCTACTCAGAAATGCATGCTTTCTCTGTGCCTTTTAACAGATTTTGTTTAAGTTCTGTGTGGTTTATTCTTCCTTAATGTCCTAATCGGCTTACACTGATACTAATGTTTCTTGATTTCTTTCCCTTTGAGCTATGGCGGTGGCACGAAGGGAAGTGCCTGAATGACTCTCTCTCTTCTGCTGTAGCTTTTCCAGTCACTGCTGCAGTAATGCAAAAGGACAGAGGTTAAAAATGCTGCCTGTGTTTTTTGAAGTGGTGTCATAGGTTTAACTTTTTTTTTTCTTCTTTCTGTTGGAAGGCTCTTCAAAGTGAAGTCAGTGCTAAATAATCAGTAGCTCATTGTTAGCCACCTGGGTCAGGCGATCTTATTCCTCCAGTTCCCACCAGTAAACAAGCTTTTCTCAGCAGCCTGAGAGGCTGAGAGGAGAGGAGCGTAAACAATGCAAATATTGCATTCTTAAGAGTATGCTTTTATTAAATGGGAAAATGTATATTAATGATATGGCATTTGCAGGCATGATACTTCTTGCTTGCCTGTCTTATTGGATTGACTTGGTGAGATTATTAGTTCTGGCTTTGTGGAAAGTCTGATGTTGAAATTTCTGCGATGGTGTATCTTAGTTGAAAATTGATGAAAGTCTTGTTTAGCAATTTGTATAAGTGGCATTAGAGTGGTACTGGTGTTTTAAAATCAAGTCTCGCACATGTTGATAGAGATTTAAAACTTAGCTAAGAAGTAATATGAATAAATGGAGCTTGGTTTTTCAGAATGGCTTAATTGCTTCACTCACAAGGCAAAAAGAAAATGGATCCTGTACTAAGCTTGCTGCAGGGTGGTGATTATGGTGGGGTTTATTCAGGGCCTGTATAGCAGGAAGGGGCTGTGGCCATCATTGGGCTTTGCTGGCACAGTGTAATGTCAGCAGTTAGGCACCCAGCTTGACTGTTGCAACTCTGAGACTTACCTGATCTTGTGTCAACCTACTAACTGGATTTGAGGTGCTTTCTGGAAGAGCTGGGCAGTGCCTGAGGGGCCTTAACCTGGGCAATGCCAAGGGCCTGCCTCTGCATTCCTGCAGCCTGCCCTCCAGTTGCAGCCCTGTGCCCTTTCACCAAAGCCACTGGGGCT